AACTCAAAAACAAAACAAAATTTCGTTCTGAAAATACGATCACAATTTTTATATTACTTTAATTTATATTAATTATTATTTTCTGGAGGCAAATGATTAAAAATAAAACCGCTTGGTTCCATACTTTATATTCACCCTGTATGTAATGACTGTTGTCATTCACAATATCACAATTTCATTTATTTTAACAAGATYTTGCTTAAATTTAAGTTGCTTACTAAGTTAACAGCTTGTAATTAATTTTTTCTTGTTGATATTAAAAACTTCGGCATTTCTTTGTTTTTAACATAAATGTTTGTAATTTAGCAGCAATAATTTTGAATCCATTGTCACTTATTACTAATTAAAATGCAAAAATTGAAATCGCTGTTTCAGAGATCTGAGGACTTGTTTTTTTCTAGCCACCCGCTGTTTTCTTTTTCTAGTAGTTAGATATTTTCCTAATTTTCGGAAAAATACACAAAATTATTGAGGTCAATATTCGTGCTTTGATCTTGATATTTATGTGAAAATGCAGGGAGAAAACAATAGCCCCTTTCGTGTTGATAAATCTTAGAAACCACCATTTCCGTAGGCCGTTTCAATAAACAAAATCTTTAAAATAGCTCAACTAATAAAACTTTTATTATCTCAGACATATGCTTGAGAAGTAGTCCAATATCGGCACATCAATAAAAATTCCTTGCTTCCTGTTATAGTAACAGTTAATTGCACTAATATGGAATCACTGTGTGCAACTTTTTCTTTTATTTTTCCTTTCGATCGGCGTTAATCAAAATTTTTGAGGTCATTTAATCCGATGGCTCTCAACAAAAAATTTCGACATGTGATTTTCTACGACCCACATAAATGACCTAATGTGAAAGCAACAGGTTTTTTCTCCACTTTTGCATAAAATTGTTTTCGATACTACTAAAATCTATTTTTGTGTCTATTATTCACAATATGCAGCGGCGACTAATGTAATAAATGACGTTTAACACACCTTAAATGGGCGTTTGGAGACAACATACCTAGAGAATATGGACGTCCTTGTCGTGCATTGTTGAAATAATTATCAGTAATAAAGAATTTGTATGCAGTAATACCTAGATGTGAACGGTTAATGATGGGAGCAAATTGCTTCCAGTGCTTGAAAATAGACACGGAAAAAAACAATGTCTTTTACTGACCTTCTGGGTTTGTTTGATGGCTCGCATTTCCATAATTATGCCGACGAAAACAAATGGTGTCTAGCTTTCGATAAAATTCTTTGCAGGAGATCTCACAAGAGACGCTTCATTATCTCATTATACGATAATTCAAAGCTGTTTTGATGTGAAAACGGTGTTTTGTTGCAGAAATTATGCAAAAAGTTACTTTTCATGAAAAATACCTATATTTTGAGTCTTGCAATTAATAGCAGGTTTCAGTTAAAATAACCGATTTTTMCCAAAACTGTAGTATTTATGAATAACAAAGAATATAAAAAATTTTGAAACAATGATCAGTTAGAAAAGGATAACACTAACTACAAAAATGGTACAAGTGGCAAAGGTGTGCTTTATAKTCTTAAAAGGATTTTAAAAGCGAAATTAGATTTTTTGTAACCTTTTTTTTTTCAAATAATAATTCAAATGATAAAAAAAATATCTTCGACTGTGAAAAACTCCAAAACTTATTTTTTTTTCTTATTTGTAAAGGCATTTATCTGCCTTATAATAGTAATAATAATAACATCAGATTCAGCCTTTTAAAAATCTAAAAACCAAAATCTCCGTTTTCTGGTCTATTTGCCAGGAATGAATTTTGCATTATTTTGTAAACTTGTAGGATGTGACGTAATGGAAAATACTGGATGAGCTGTTCCATAACGAACACATCATTTTCCCTATATAGCTGCTCAACGCTTCAGAAATTTGTCTTTGTATTTTTCATTTCAGTAACTTTAAACTCTTTTTCAATAAAAAAATTTCTTTCTCTTTCATATTTACACGAGGAGAAGGCTATAGACCATCCACGGCACAGCTTCGCTAATGCAATGCAACTGAATGTCTATTTATAATTATCTGTGAGTTTTATTCTCGCCCACTGCAAATATAATATGATCCAATTGTTATTTGTTTATATTATTTTTATATTTAATTTTCGTGGTACACAATACACATCTTTGCGTTCGATAGTCACAAATTTGTAATCACATAGCGTATTTAGAACATGCAACTGACTTTTCCAAAAAAAGCATACACGCTTAGATGGAATATGTGGACTTATTGGGTTTTCAGAGTGGGTATATGAGTTAGAGCCCACCACATTCCACATTACGTCACATTTTGACAACAGTTATCATTCTTATTCACCAGTACATATTTAATAAGTAGTCAACCTTGTCCATGTTATTAAGAAGTTAATTACGTTGAATTATCATTTAAATACCTTCACCAAAACTATGAAAACATACATAAAGTTCCATAATACTGTCTTTATGGTGGAGATSTCGAAAAAATTAAGTAGGTATATGAAGTAAGTTACATTGTTTAAAAGAAAAAAAATTAACTACAGAATAAAAAAGTWTAGGCTGCCATATTTAGGAAACAAAGTTATGTTCGTTTGCATAATTTGATCATATCTTTTAGTGCATCAAACGATCAAAGAGCAAAGCCTTATTTACAAACATGCAAAGATCTACTTTAGTGGTATTATTAATAAGCACTTAAAATAAAAGTCGAGATAGAAAAATTTTTGTTCAGAATTCAGTTAGATTAAATTAAGAGTTTTTTGTTAATCGAGAAATGTTTTACGTTTTTCAAAAGTTTGAATGTTGTAGGTATTAAAAACAAAGATGAATAAAAATTACCTCATTTTTTTGATTAATTTGAAAATAATTTTTGGTTCTATAAATGAATATGAAAAATATATTTATTCAAATATGTAAAACTCTCATAATTTGAAAATTTTTATAGATAGAATTTTTAACTTTTGATGTTCCTGGTATCTTACCTTACATGGGCATTTTTCTCTGAGGTGAGAGTTCTGAAACACTCTGTGTAGCTCTTAAAATGTTAGATTTTTTTTGGGTTAAGTTTTTACCCGTTCAGATTATGTACCTACAGTTGGTTGCAATAAAAACGAAAAATAGAATTTTCTTTAGATTGAAACAGGTTTTGTCAATTTAGTTATCAATTTGTCGCATTCAAATAATTTTTTCTGCAATGCTGCACTTAAATGCCGAGAGCATCAAATGCAAATCAAGATAATCAATTAGTTGAGTACTTACGTGAAAACCCAATGAGTAGCAGATTAACTGTCAGTTCTAACTTAACCTTTTAAAATTAAGCCATGTTCAAACTATGGATAAATATAAAAATGCTTTTACATTTTCCGATTTTTTTGACCAAGTGTACGTATTTAGTCAGCACATCTTGGCAACATTAAGTATGTGTTAAAAAAAAATCACTAATCTGTGTCTTATGGTGTACAAAGTATTTAACAAACTAACAAGTTCAACAATAAATTAAATCCGACAACATCGAAAACAAAAGCCAAAGTGRCTATAATGATATGTAATATCGAAATTGACAGTTCTGTTAATTCTGCTTTTTCTCAGAAAAAGCTTGCATAAAATCTACATTCATTTCTATGCTTAGCTATCACCACCGTTCGAGAGTTGGTCCGACTCTTTCTAATCATCCTGTATATAATKGTAGTTACTTTTGTTGGGAGTTTTAATAAAAAACGTTGTTTGTAACACGTACCTAAATAAAACGTTTTTGCGGACTTATCTCCTACTCCAAACTCGGCTTTGCTTCMTCTGAAACATCAATGATTCGTCCGAAAAAAACGTATTTTAGGTACTTGTAACAAAAATAAGTATTCTAATATTTATTTACTCGTATCATACTCGAGACACAAAATCTCTTTTAGACCAACTCGCCGCGGAACTGCATTAGCATTCCGTTAACTTTTCGGTTACTTGGTCACTTGATGATCAGAATTAATAATTTCAATAACGGGACCGCTCCAAGAAGTTGTTGAATGAATTCACGGAGTCTGGTCACCTCGCAAAGGCATATGTGACTAACTGTACCATTTAACATCTCCATACGAGTAACCCATTGGGCATTTGCAATTTTCTCAATTAAAGCTAACTTGGACCGAGGTTGGACCGCTCGAGGGATGGCATCAGATACATGACCAGAAACAGGTGTTTTAGTGATAAATGCAGCTTGGGATGTGGTACCAAGGTGGATGACCCCCATTGGACTGCAGGTGCGGCACTCTCGTTACGCTAGTACAACCGAGTCGGAAGTTTCATTGTAATAATAAACGGAAACGCAAGTCTCTACAAATTAATCGTGAAATATCGGTTTCAAACATCACAAATAGAAGTTTTAGCCGAGACACTCTTTGTTTGTTTTGACCAAGTTTCGATGTTTCGTCGATGACATGTGGTGTGGGTGTGTCAGTGTTGTCGTGCCTTCATGCATCATGCCCATATATGATTTTGCTTTTTGCGTTATGTCACTACTGCCTCCATTTGAACCTACCTTTCCACCTACTGAGCCACATGAGTCGTAGGTTGCGCATAAAATTAATCAGAAGGTCGCTGTTGGGTGATGAACTACACACCACTAGTGACGAAATTACTCTCACACATTTTGGGAATGTGGGCGGAAATGGGGTGCGTTGAGAAATAAAAATTTAATTTTTAATGTATAATTATTTTATACAGGGTGTTTACGATTTTGAAATTGAAAATTGACCTATTTATAGAAGAGTACAGAAATACTGTAACCGAGAAAAAAACTCACACAATTGTTATTATTAAGAATGTTATTTAACTCCAAAACACGCTTTGAGGGTCACTGAAATTATTTCCTTGTTCAGATAAAATTGTATTGTTGCAACAAATAAAAAATCGTATCCATGACAGTGAAAGAGAAATCCACTTCATAGTTTTCACACTGTTATCATTTGATTTGTTTTTGCATTAGTTTTTATCAAAATTCGAAGATCTTCTGTTTGATCTCTTCCAGCGAAATGCTTTCCAATAGATTGGTTGATTCGTTTTTCTTAATTTGTTACTAAATTTATGAACATGAATGGCAAAAAATATTAAAATAATAAATTGGTTGTCGTGATTATGATTTACGGTGAAACACAAGGTAATGWTACTAATGGCCATTGTTGCAGCAGCAGTTCTCAAACAAATAACATATTTCCTTTCACAACGTGAATTTTTGTTTCATGTAGCGTATTGGTTTTCTTCTACCGTGAATATCATATCATTTAAATTTCAACCTCAACACCGTAAACACCTTGTATACCAGGTGAATAAAAAGTATGGAACCAAAAGTTTTTTTCTTAAACTATTTATTTTTTTGGAAAAACTAATTGATGAATGATAAAGTACTATAAAAATGTGATGTTTTATCAAGAATCAAATTTTCCGAGATTTTCTTTTGTTTTTGAGTTTCATAAAATTTTTAATTTTTTTAAATTGCAACCCAKTATAATAYTTATTTATTGTAAGAGTGGGTTAGATAGCGTTTTATCCACGCAAGACTGTTTAACCGCGAGAACGTTAGTTCGTTTSGTTAAGTGGATAAAATGCGACTAACACACGACTGCAATATAACGTTTCATCCACAATCACAGGCTCAAATTATTCCAAACTTAATTAAAAATTAAACTGACATTTAAACGTCACGCCAAATGTGCTTTCGGTTAAACGTAGTAAGCTGTTACACGGTGCGCTGGTTACTAACAGTGGAATAAAGTTACTTTATTCTACTAGTGGATAAAGTGGTACTTTATACGCATCTAAAGTCTGGAATAAAGTCTCTTTATAGAGTGATTGTGGATAAAATCATTTMTCTTATGAAGGTTATGATCTAAGGATCTACTTTAAAAACATTTTTACATAAATAGCAATTTTGACAAAAAAAATTGCATAACTCAAAAACAAAACAAAGTTTCGTTCTCAAACTACGATCACATTTTTTATATTACTTTAATTTATATTAATTAATTATTATTTTCTGGAGGCAAATGATATAAAAAAAAACACTTGATTCCATACTTTATATTTACCCTATAGTTAGTTTTTCCAGCAATAGATTAGACTTTTTTAAATTAATACATATTATTTAAACATTAAAATTAGCAAGAATTAGTGAAAAGAGATTTTGTTTTGGGCGTAATTTTGTATCAGTATTAAATCGGAATGACTTAAATGAAATTTTTTGTAATCGACTGGTGAATTTGATGCCAAAAAAAAGTCCAATCTATTGCTGGGAGACGTTGGCAWAATTGTATTAGATTATCTATTTGATCATATAAGAGTTCATTTGTCGGCAAATTTGCAAAATAACAAGCTTTCTAATACTCAAATAACCCTCATCTACAAGACATCAAAGTGATTCAATTTTCAATATTTTAATAATGCACATAGAAAAGTCCCATTATGTGATAATCTGAGATTATGAAATTTTTATATGGGACATGTGAATCCGCTCTCAAACCGTTCCTGTCCAATTAGATTGCCAAATTGTCGTCGCTTGAAATTTTAAAAATAAAACTGTGGGCAATTATTGTTATTAAGATGAAAATAAAGATTGCCAAATGACTGGGTTTTGATGAATTAATTGTACAATTTGGCACTATTTTAGTTGGTTGAATGGAAAAGAAGTTAAAAGTGTTACAACAATAGTAAAAGTGAGATTAGATAAAGAACTTTAATTATTATATTCAATACAATGGTCTAGTCTTGTTGATAATACGAGAAATAAACTGGTCTTTTGTTTGTTAGAAGAAAAAACTGTACAAGAGAAAATTAATTCCATCGATAAAGATAAATGGCCTTCTAAGTTTCTAACTGATCTTAATTGATTGTATGAGTATAACGGTTCTAAGTAGTAGTATCTGCGAGTATCTGCTACGAGTATACATCTAAACATGGTGCTCAGTGAGATTTATAATGAAGTTAAAGTTTTTCAGTTTTCTATCAATATAAAAATTATGATGTGTGCTCTAATTATTACTTACATTCAATATTTTAATTATTTTAGAATTATCTAGAATTGTTTAGAAAAAAAAAAAAAAGTGTAGCAGTTGCTCTACAACTGAACTCTCCACTGAACTTGAGATAAATATGATTATGAAGTTGTAAAGATATTTTATATATCTTGACAGAACAATTAGTGTTACAATTTTCGTCGGCAAAACTGATTTACGACTTTCAATTTTACTTTTTGAGTCTTACGTGATTTAAACTATGGATAAAATAAACTCTAAAGTCCAAATAGTCCAAAGACCTTTATTTTAAATAAAATGGCATTTTACAAGATATCTATTATTTTTTAGATACCCTGAAATGATATCTAAATATTATTCGGAAAAAAACAATAAATATTTGAAGGTATAATGAGCAATACGTAAAACGTAACGTACTATGTTACTGTTTTCACATCTTCTGAAGTTGAAATTGGTAATATTTTAATAATCAAGGTAACAATAATAATTATATTAAATAAAATAGGAATTAAATTCTGACTTTTACCAAATGACAGCATTTTAGTAGTAATGATGATAGAAAGATACAAAAATGTAAAAAAAAACTACTAATGTTTCTCCTAATGCAGGTATCAGATTTACAGCTATAAAGCCTATGACCTTGAATAAATTTACAGTAAGCTATGACAAATATTCATAAGTATAAAGTAGTTTAAACTTATAACTTATTCATAAGTATAAACGTATAAACACTTGTGCCTRACATCACGAAATTGSCTCATTTATAATTAATTAACTATCCCAAATGTGATATTTCACACATTATTTGTGGAAAATTYTACTTGGCACGAGTTTAATTTTTGATCAAATTCTCGTGAAATATTGTTGCTGCTCTAAATATTGCCGATTATTTATTTATCGCCACTACCACTACTTCCGTTTAAAACCCTAGCGTTTAAGCAGTGATAGTTTCCTTTTTATGTAGGTGCAAAAATGCATTTTAAAGTCGCAACGTGTGCAATTAATTCCACGACATAATAGTTGAAAAAATTTAAATGCGCTTTTACAACGACTTCGGTTATTTATAGGTATTATTTATCAACAACCTTGAATTATCTTTTTTTTTTCAGATATTAGGTATCCTGTGTATGTCACTAGCGTCGCCTGCATGGCTTTCAGGAACACATTTTTTTCTTTTCGTTGCGACGACGAGTTTCATCGGTACCCTAATTTGGGTATTCGTCTACTTTTTGGGTATTCGAGAAGCGCTCAACTTACCCATCCACTGGATACTCACAGTACGTATTTTACCAAATTTAGAAACATCAAAAGACGAATCTGGTCACATTTCGCGTATAAATAAACGAAAAACGAGGGAAATGTGAACAGATATGTTTATAGCCGCGCCAAGAATGGCAGATTAAAGGTGAGCTCATTGCAGGAGTTAGTTAATACAGCGATCTGTACGGGGGCTTATGTCATCGCGTTTATTGTCCAGCTCTCGATATGGCCAGGAGGGCCGCACTGGCACAAGGGAGCCAACATTGCGGCGGGGGTAAGTTTTTTTCAAAAAAAAAGATAAAAACAAAATTAATATTTGATTGTAGGTTTTCGGTATTTTCAATGCCCTGGCCTATGGATTTGCAACGTATCTCCTATACATCGAATATAAAGGAAACAGGACAAACTAAATCACTCAAAGAACTGACAAAAGTCGCGGTGACATTTTTAGTCTTAGGTTCAAAAAACGAAGAGGAATTTTTTGTTTAGTTGTTGTTAGTCATGTCATATTCATCACTTTTATAATTTTTACTCTTTCACTTTTSTATCAAGTAATTTATTGTACACTAAGTGTATTAACATGTTTCCTCTAGTGCCTTCACAGCAACTGTCACGATAATAATAATTCACTTAAATTTTATAAGGTTTGTAAAGTTCAAGTATGAGAAACGCTGGTTCTTTATACGTATTTATATACATTTAAGTTTTCAAATTTTATCTAAATAATGTACAATTACTGTGTAAATTTTAGATTGAAATAAAAAATAAATAATTGTTTTTATAAATAACATGCGTTTGAAAAGTGAATAACAACGCTCACTATCAAAATTGAAATAAAACATTGAGTAAAATCACGAAAGTAAATTAACTGCATGCATTAAYAGGTGCGTACAGACCCGTAACAAAACTTCGTCAATTCTGTCGTTCCATCTTTTATTGCATAATTTAATCAGTATTTGGAAATAGGTATACTAAGAAAATAAGCAAGGATATCTTGCAATCATCTATTGAGGTATGTGACACTCTAAACAAATAATTTTTTACTTATTTTACTGTATACCAGGTGACCGGTAACGAATATCTCTCGGTCATAAATGACAGCTTTCTATAAAATTTTAACGTATTTAATTTACTAGTCAAAGGTACAGTTGGAGACAAAATACTTTGGTCGTCACTTTTCTGACATTTTAATGTAATTCAAGCTTTAACGTTAAAATGAATGACAATTTCAAATTAATGACAGCTATTATATTTTCCTATCAACATACAACTTGTCAACTATGATTGACAGTAGCTAAAAATAAGGTTAACAGTCCTAAAGCATGCTTTACAATTTAATGTCACTCCAGTGACATTGGCGACCAAAGTATTTTGTCTTCAACTGTACCATATGAGAGGTTCCATTCCAAAACTTGTCTTATATCCACTTAAAAAAAAAACGTGTTAGCAGTAGTTATGGCCACTACATGCAAGTTTCCAATTCTCAAAAATAATTACTAAGTGTAAAAATGCTCTTATCATCGTTAAAATACACTTATACAGAGTTCCCCACCTAAGACCTTCAGAAATTTAAATTGTAGAAATTTAAAATGTAGATTATTTAGCAAGTAGATATAAACATCTTATTACTAAAACAATCCTAGCCCTTAAAATGTCATTTTAACATGCCTTTTAAATATGCTAAATTACTTAAAATTTATATCAAATTGCCAATAAAAAAATAAATTGTGTTAAAAGTGGCTGAAGATGCAAAAACATGGGCAGCTATGAAAAAAAAGAACGATTCTACATTTATTGAACTAACTAATTCAGTAGGTACAACAAAAGATGTACGAAGGTACCACCGTTCGTTGGCATCAATGGATCTAAAAATTCTAAGGATGTAACCACAAGTTTTTAGGGTTAAACAAAATGGTTCTCAGAAATGTTAAACTATTGTTTTAGAGTTACCTTTAATATTTTTTTTCAAAAATTAGATCAAAATTTTAATAACATAACCTACGTATTTCTGCTGATTCAGACGAGTGATTTAGTTATTTTCTTTTTTGTGTCAAGGTCTAGTAGTTTAACTTAATTTTAAATTGAAAAAATATGTGTTAAAATTATGTTTTTTATCTTAAGGTAATAATAATAATATTAATACTAATTGAAGCTCCAACTTCTAAGTTGTCTACATTTTAAATTTCATAAAAACCATTATCAAATAACAGATTAATATTAGACTCGAAATTCTTACGTGGTACATATTATACAGTGTTATTATAAATAATTTTAATATCGGAGTACAATACACCAAAAAAAAAATAATTTATTGAATTTATTTAAAATGAGATAATTATTGAGCCATAGATTTTTATGAGAGATTGTTGGTTATAATATGAAGAGATTRAGAAAGACTGAATCTGAAAGTATTTTTGTCAATAATTTAAAACACTGCAACCGGATACGGTTTTGCTTGACAAATACTTGACGTACAACCCCACGAGATTGTTGAATTGTTATTAATCAAAAGCGTACTCCAATGGTAAGCTTTAAAAATTAGGGTCAGGATTGCCAACATATTCAGTCATTGTGGATTACTTTGTACTTATAATAAAAGGACAAAATAGGTCCTGTTCTTTCAAAGTTTTATAAAATGATGTAGAAGTATCGGGCAAGGTCAGAAGAAAATTAAATAATATTGTCTGAAGATGGCTATCTAAAAATAGCCGAAACATGGAGCAAGTAGATATAGGAATAAACTTTAAGAGCACAAAACCTATTTTTTACTTTAATTATAAAATGAGATATTTTCATAGTTTTATTACTGGGACATTTTGCAAGACATTCTTTTTTTCTTCARATAGGGCAAATTAGAATATTTTTACTCATTATCCACAAATCTCCGTTGGATTGGTATAATAAAAAAAAAATGTATACGTACTCGTATGTGACCAGTAAAACAATGTAAATTCTCCGATAAACTTTAGTGGAACGAGGTTTTCATTACTTTGCATCGACCTCACCCACAAAATGCATTTTAGCAATAATTAAAAATTATTTATTGTTGACAACAATAATGTAATATTTTGAAAATCAATGACATTGAAAGTCTTATACAATTTGACATATTTAGCATTAAAGGATGACATCAGAGTTTGTTATCTCATTCGGCTAAAGGCTAAGAATCACCGTAGAAAAATTTTCAGAAACGAGACGGCTAATAATAACGATGAATAAACAGACGACAATGTATGAGGAAAGTGACAAATGCAATATTTGCAGTGTGCGCAAACAATTCTAGACGCGATTTAGAATTCGAAGATTAGACAGTGGTTGTTAACCCTGCGCATCCACCAAAAAGACCAATTTTAGAGACATATTTTAGAGACTATTTTCACTCTGTTAGCATTTATTTCCTTATATTTCTTTTTTTTTGTCCTAAATAGATAAAAACTCTCAATTTCCCAATAATAACCGAAATAAATCATATCAGCCGATCCCACTTCGTAGGCGAGCAATGAAAATGGATCGGCGTTGGTGCTACGACCAGAATTCAGTTCGTTTCCAGACTTTCGTGGGCTTTCGTTAGTTCGATCGGTGTGGTTACACCCACCTTACCATAAACAAAACTCCAACAGGTAAGTCACTTATTAAAAATAACATTCAATCCAGTAACAAGTCAGGAAAGGATGATCGACTTGTGAATCGTGATAAGTGTTATCAAAAGAAAATAGTAAATATTTACCAACTTATATTGATCTGTGTCTGGTGAGTAATAGTGGACTTCGGCGCGTTTATCATTTTTATACGTGTTACGTTGTATATTTAATTATTTAATTTCATTTAGTTATTTATTTCATAAATTGTTAAATAGTTTATCTGTTGGCCGAAATAGTTAAATGGTTCGACGCTCATTAACACACAACGAAGTGATAAATTAGTGTCGTAGTGGGACTTTTACTACTCATTAAATTAGTTTCTAAATACGCGCGAAAAATTTATTTGTTAGTAAATGAAAATAAACAAAATTGGGGATCAATCATGACGTTACCGATGACCCATTTATCCCAAGAATAACAAACCAGTCTTATAAATACACTTTTCTGTTGAGAGGGTAAGCTTTGGTCAGAAATACACTGTAGCTTTCCTTCATCACCGCTATCAAGTTTCAAAATAATCGATCAGAGATATTTCAGGATCAATTCCAAAAATGTCACACACGGTCACGGTTACAAGGACCACAACCACCACGACAACCTCTGCAATCATCATAAATACGGGATATTTAAAAACATGGCCCGGAATTTTGAAACTATTAGAAATGGTAAGTAGAAATATCGCCACTGAAAATAGATTTGACGTCAGAGGACGTGCAGCGCTGAAAAACAAAACTGTTTTCATTGCAAGTACATTTTCTCGTGTAATTATGTATTCAGCTGCCCATATGGTAAAAGAGGGCTAGGTCGCGGGAGAAAGCGCACCGCAAGGACAATATTGATGACTAACCTGAGGATTTTTAATTGCAAAAAACTGAAAAATCACAGTTTTTACATTACAAATTTGAGAAAAAAAAATTGACTTATCATTTGGTTCAAACTTAAAATAATATAACAAATACCATGCCTTCAAAAAAATTTCTGATGGAAGCGTCCTATGATTTTAAAATTAAGTTTGCAACTATCAAATTCAAGCGTCACACTTTTATAGTCAATTGTTATTCATTTCCGAGGGGCGGCCGCTGGCATGGCTGTCGCCTGACAATCGCAGATGTCAACAAAATTCAATGTTGCCAACTTAATTTCAGGTCACAGATCAAAGTAATATTACAGTATCATTTCAATAAAATTCACACCTAATTTGTGAAAATATACATTTTTATGACTTTAATAGTAGTGCACAGTTATTTTAAAAGTTGACTGTGAAGGTCGAAAAATGCTAAAATAAGTCAACTTGTCTTATCCGAATGTTGATAATTTGGTGTTACAAAACCATGATGTTTCCTGTACAAATTTTATTCATGTTTTATTAAATAAAGTCCAGTAGTTTTAAATCTACGGGGTGGGGCATCCGTTACGCCCAAAAAGAAAATCCCCAATTCTAAATCAAATTGTTGAATTTTTTCATACTTACCTGGGCATTAAGGTACATTCTCTATTTTTTTGGTAATTTTTCATTCACAAACAAAGCCAAAAAAATAAAAAGTAATGTTCTCCCAAAAAAAATAATTCTAATTTTTATACTGACCAACGCAGATTCACTTCCTACAATTGATTACAAAATCAGAAAAAAAAATACCAATTAGATTTTGAATTAAACGCAATTTTCCATCTTAACTTTGAAAATCATTTTTATTTATGACCTGCTACTTGTGCCATCGTAAATTTAGGTGACAATGGAGAACTGCAATTAGACCCTTTAAAGCGGTCGGCTACCATTAAATGATTCTTTTGTTGGCAAATTATACCATTTTGTCATAAATCACAGGTCTGGTTTGTGTTTAATTAAAAAAAGCGATTATTTGGATAACCAAGTTAAAATTTGAAATTGTGATATCAAAGTTTGATRCGCTGACACATTTAGTGTAAAAACTTTATAGGTAAATTAACAGAAAGTATTCATAAAACACACAAAACTGTTACGGACTCATTTATTATAAAAAAAAATTGAAAAATTCTCAAATTATACCCTATCAATAATTAGTTAGGTATATGAAATATCGCCAGTTTTAATTAATTTGAAGTCGCGATTTATCAAGTGCGCGTAATCGATGCCCCACCCGGTATAATCGCAGTCAAAAATTTTCTTAAATCTTAATAAAATTTGCACAACAGAAAACCTAAAATCCGGACTTTACTGATGACCCTGTTTTCAGCTTTTGGGTATCGTGGTTGTGGGGCTGGTCAGTTACTATTACCCTCACCAGTTGTATGTGAGTCAGGCCCCCAAGACCTTCTTCTTGTTGATGGCGGTGACGTTTCTGGTCGGAACATTCCTCCTTTTGTTCTCTTGCTTGATTTCCATTTCGACGGCGTCGATTATTTCCAAGACCATTTATGTAAGTTGGGTTTTATRATTGTGATTTCGCTGATGTTATCGCTGTTATAGGAAGTGGTTTACCATGGTTTCGCCTTTGTTCTCTATCTCGCTGCAAGTCTGACGTTTATTATTGAAGTAAATCATTTGAAAAGCGGCTATGGACACGATTACGAGCCGTATTTTGCAGCTGCTGTAAGTAAATTGCTTCGTGGGTGTAAGTTTTTAATTTTTTGATTTGTAGATCATCGGACTTGTGATTTCAGCGCTGTATTTATTAAGTACTGTGTTTGCCCTAAGAAGCTACAGAGGGTTATAAGTGGGTTAGATATTAGAATTTGTTGATCATTATTTAAGATTCACTTTAATTGAATGTGTCATTATTAAATCATTCGCATTTTAGCTTTAAATGTCTCATGTTAATTTATTGCCAGTAGTATTTTGGAACCACGTAGTTAGGCAACCGATATTACAGTAACTCTTAGAGTAGGTAGTCTAGCAAGATAAGCAGCAATAATATAATTATTTAATGTTGATATCATGATATCAATATTTATTTATTGTTTTTGGGGTGTCTTACTGTTCTAAGATAAACCCTTGAAGTCAATTGGTCTTATGTATGAGATGCTACTAGAATTAGAGAACTAACATTATTYTGTAAACAATAGTTTTAAGGATATTGTATACRSTTTACTAAGCATTTCTTGTCAGGTCTTAGAAGTATAAAATATYTAATAATCTGACAAGGTCTTAAGCTGCCATCAATGTATTTTAAATGTGCCTAAAATAATATGCCTTAGCACTTTTTGTAATAAGTTTATTGTGAACGTTTATATTTTATGAAGAATTTAGGATTTTAGTGTTAAACATATTCGAGTACGATTTAGTTTTGGTAGAACATATTTTTTGTGACTGTACAACTACATGATATATTTCAAAAATTAGGTATATATAGGATTTTGAGACTTTTATTAAAAACAATTCTGAGGAAAAAGTGTTCTCAAAAGGAAAAATAAATAGATACTCTGAATTTTGAAGTACCTACTGCATTGTAGCAATTTTTAGGTTCGTTTTTTTTACACCCTCTTGTTTTCACAGATTTTTTAAAATACAGGATGAGTCATATATAATAAAGACCCTAACCGACTTTTTTACGCAACCCAAAATGCATTTTCAGATATCACAATGCGTTACTTGATGTTCTGTTTGAATTTTTTCAAACACATAAACAACACATTGTGATAGCTTTGAGAATTTTTATAAATTTGAATCCTACGGTGTACCTTTGACGGTACAGATTCAGCCACAGCATTTTGTGGAATGCTCCATTTGTCAAGATCAAATTATCAGTTTTTTTTTTTTGAGTACAATTAAAATTTTTCAAACGTACAAAAAGCAATTTTGACTGTGTGAATGTATTTTGGGTTGCGGCTAAAAATCGGTCCAGGGTCTTTATTATAAAGTGACTCAGTATGTTTTCTTGCGTGACATTTTTTTTAAATTAAGAAATAAAATTACATTTTTACTTAAAACATACAATTTCTAATTTATTACATTTAATTCGTCACCAAGTTAAGCGTTGAAATAATTAAGAAAAGTTACTTATCAAAATACCGTGAGGTGAAAAATTATCTTGGTCAAGAGTGGTCATGGATTTTAAAATAATTGTCGTAGGTTATGTCAGTGACTCAAACATTGACAAAATTATTGCAAAAGGATATAAGCAACGACAGACGTTTTCCATTCCATGACCATCCTTGACCAAGATAATTTTTGATCTCACTGTAGATAATACATATTATACCTTATTTTATTATTTTATGGATACGCATTTAAAAATACCTCTACATATCACGGATAAAAAGCATGGTTTATTTGGTTGCATATCCACCACGTTAACATGAAAAAAAGAAAACTATAAAACGTAAATAGTATATTACAACTGTGAGCTCAAGTTGTAATACCAAGAGACCAGTGGCGGCTCGTAGTCTTTTGTAAACAGGAGGAGACCTTTTTTATAAAATAGAAATATACGTATACATGTCAAATACTTAAAAAAATTATTCTCTGCTTTCGTCGTGACCACAAAAAGCTAACACTTAACAGTATAGAAAAATACAAATATCGATTAATCCTTTTAAAAATTTCTCTTTTTTTTGACCGATTCATTATAACGAGTGTTTTTTTTTTAATTTGGCGTCAAAACTATCCATAAAAGTTCTATTGTGAACGAACAATCGTATTGAAAGTTATTAATCTCACATATCGACTCTCCCCACGAAAACTATAGTAACTCAAAAATTACAGTTTTGAAAAAAATTGCATTAAATCTTTGATTGTTAATAATAAATCAAGGAACTGTTTAATATTAGTTAATATTATTTTAATTATTATTTATTTTAATTAATATTATTGAAAATTGCTAAGGCTCTATATTTTGGTAATAATGTTGTTTATTTTTTTCTCTTTGTTTTAGTATTTTTTCAAAATTGTGATCCGTTCACAACACACTCATATCACCATCAACTATGACACTAAATTCAAACAAACACCCGTTAGTTATTTTTATTACCAGGGTGGAAAGTGTATCTTTTCCTCAAGAGACTCAGCCTCGAGGTCAGATAAAACCCGAAAATGTAATGATTAATGAAATTCTCCCCGAGATTTGTGTGCTATTTTAGCTGTTTTTCTAACAAAGCGGTGACGTAGTTGTTATCCTAAAAATTGAGTTTGATAAGTTACTTAATAACATTAACATAGATCAAGATCACTTTTCAACTAAGAGAAAAAAAATTTGAAGGATAGTTAAAATTAGTTTATTACAAATCGTATTATTCGTATCCATTATTTTTGTTTACACCTATTTTACAACTGGAGCAGTAGTATTTAGACTATACTATGAATTTATAAAATTTATTTATAAAGCACATTTGTTGAGTCTAGTTTATTAATTCGCATTAACTGTTTTTTTTTATTATGAAATATCCGACTGAACAGGAAGATCAAACAATATCCGGCTTATCTTATAATTATTTATATCCACAACGATCAATTTCCGTTAAAATAATATTTAATAATTTTGGCAAACAATAAAGCATCCATCACGATTTTTATCTCTAATGCATTTTGACAATAAGTGATTAGAAAATGTAGAAAACTCTTGTAAGTAACAATTATTTCCTTTTCTGTACTATTTACATCCATATGTAACTACAAAAATATCCGGAAACCCAAAAATAAACGCCTCTCACCCCACACCGAGCACATTGCTCTTGCCGAGTTTAAAATATACCCAGACGTMGTCTCGTCACTTTCACTATAACAATTTTTTCTSAAATAATTAAAAAATGATACCATCAAGAGGTCCCACGATAATTACAGTGCGTCCGAATACCAAATCCGGGGGAATAAATTGTTGCTGTTGCAATTGTTGCACTTGTTTGAATTTACAATTTTTAAGGAGTGAACCAGGAGTGTTAAAAATTCTCGAATTGGTAAGAAACATATCAACTGACTAAAACTTACTCATTTACATTAGTTTTTGGGTTCTTTTTGCCAAAGTTTGGCCCTTAATTACGGGCTAGATTACTCAGGAACAATGGGTCCGTCTTATCAGTCGTTTTTAACAGCAGTTGCTTGGTGTATTATGACCACAAGCCTTCTTTTATTTTGTTATGTCGTTTCAGAAAAATCGTGCAATTTAGTCAGACAATCATTATTCGTAAGTTTTGTTAATTTTGTGACAAAAARAGTGTACATTGTGTTTCAGGAAACGGTATTTAATTCCATGGCATGTTTCAGTTACCTCTCAGCTTGCTCATATCTAGGTTACATCGTTAACATGTTTTTAAAACCAATGTATRTGGTCACACCATATTTCCAAGTCTACCCTGCCATGAGTGCCGCCTATGTAAGTAAATCGATTATCCAGATTGATAAAAAATATTGCAACATGTGTCTTGGATTACCAAAATAAAAAATTGATTAAATATTGAATACAATTGATAAGACACGATTGTTGCATTTGTGTCTTTGTATACCTAGAATTATCGCGATTTTGATTAATATTCATCATCGGTACTTGCATGACTGTTATCTCACTGAAGGTTAAACCTTTCCATAAAATTAACACAAAACGTGCTTCTTCCAAGGATGCTAAAACTAGAATTCAGAATTAACGAATTGTTTTTGTAGATGGTTGGTGGTTTGGTTGGTGCTATCCATGGCTATGATGCTTACAAATGTTACAAGTACTACAAAGGATACAGATAAGGAAAAAATGTAACAATAATAACAAAGTAAATCAAAAGMGATTAAAGTAGTCTAGAGGTTGTTTTTGTTAACCGGAAYATCTTAGAATTGTATTTTTGGAATGATTACAACTGTAAACAATTATTTCATAATTTTATCGCTCTAATATTAATATTCTAACTTTGTTAAAATTGTGTAAATAATAGGTAATGTATTAAAAAATTACATCGTTCAAAGTATGTAATATGTATACAGTGTTCTCCGGATAGATGGAACGATTCTTGTAAAAGATAAACAATTGCGATTTAAATTTTTATTTTTTGGGGTTCGGCCCTGCTTAATTAATCTCTAACATAATTTTAGTTTCGAAAAATCAAGTATGCCTTGGCAATTAAACAAAGATATATTTTTCTGTAAAGTGCCTTTTATGTAGCAAATACGACAAACAGTTATTAAGAAAAGTTGTTTAGAGTCAACTTTTATTTAAGCTCCTACACCAAATTTCAAAACCATCGGCCAACTATGATTTTTCTTTTTTTTTCAAGATAATTGTTGCTTTTTAATAACAGAAATGTCAAAAATAAAGTATTTAGTATTAATAATCTAAATGTATTTTTTATTCGTAATAAAAGAACTGTTACATTGTGAATTAACAAACATACCTATAGTTGGCCGATGATTTTGAAATTTGGTAAACGGACCTAGATGTTGATTCTAAAAAATAGCTGTTTGAAATATTCCAAAGCACACCTGATTTTTCAAAACTAAAATATGTTACAAATAAGTCTTTAACCAAGCAACGCTAAACCCCAAAAAATGACTTTCAATCATTTTTTTTATTTTTTTACAAGAGTCGTTTCACCTATCCGAGGGGACACGTTTGAATGTGGAAAAAGATAACATATAAGTAGAATTTAATGGAAATGGCACTTGCATTTTTGTATATACAGGGCGCATTCAAAAACACTTTAAAGGGTAAGACATTTTTACCTCTTATTATAAAACTTGTAATTTTAATAATTTTTGTATCTTGCGTAATGTAAACTTTTCAATGSACCGGACATGGACCAAACATCAATTTTATTTATCGGAACCAGCCACTCAATGATTAATTGAGGTATTCCRAAATCCAGCTAATAAAAATTATGTTCTGTATTGTGTTTTAATAACGTCATTRGTTCTGCGATTAGTTGCCATGTGTTTTTTTAACGCCTAGATTTCTACGTTATTTGCGATTATAGTTATTAATAAGGCTCGGATTATATGCAATATGCACGTATTTTCACGAAAATATGCATAAAATATTAAAAAATATGCTCGAATATATGCCAAATATGCATCGATATGCAAAACTTTTAACAATAAAAAATCAAAGTTGGAATAAATTTTTATCCTCGAGTACAATAAAGTTTGTATTTTTATCATCTTGAACCACACACGAATAACGAAAGAGAATAAATAAATTGGTTTTGCCTCAGACAAGCCATTTTAATAACGTAGTAATTGAGCCTTTCAAAGAAATCTGTACTTTTCAGATCACATGTTACCGTCAAAATAAAGTTACTATTACATCACTTTAAAATTTTGCTAAAATTCATTTGCAGGCAACTACTTATCCACATAGAAGGATTTATTCGTTTTATCCCAGGTGAATAAAAAGTATGTAACCAAACATTTTTTGATTAAACTATTTATTTTTTTAAAAACTAAATGATGAATTATCAAGAATAAAGTTTTTCGAATTTTTTGTTTTTGTTTTTGAGTTCTACAAAAATTTTATTTTTTTAAATAACAACCCATAAAAAATGTTTTGTATACTCTTCCAAAAACAACTGTGTTAGAGACTATCTATTTTTTTAAATTTAAATCTAATTTATACTTTAGAATAGAAGCTTTTAAAATAGCTAATAGTAGGTATACTCTTTTTCATATTAATGTGCATTAAGTAGGTTGTAGAAGTCTAAATGAATCTTTAATTTACAGTCCGATTTACACAAAAAGTGTCATTAATGTCTTTCAAAACAAATTTAATCACATCAGTCAMGACACAAATKWTTATGTTTGCTATCCTATGTTGAWTACGTTGTTAATTTTAACTATTTTTGCTACATGGGGTACACATTTATTTGAAAAAATATTTTTTAGGGAAGATTGAGTTTAGGATTGTTTGAATTTWCGCATAGTTGCCACCTTAAAATGATCCCTTTCAACGACTACTTCGATGCACATTAATATGAAAACAAGTATATGTATACTAAAAATGAATGTCTTAGTTTTCAACAGCTGCGACTGTACAATACAAAAGTCATGCAACAAAAGGCTTAACCCAAGAGCCCGAAGGGCAAGTTTTTCTTAAGTGACTTATTTGTGATACTGATAACACTAACAACACACGTGTGTCATACAAAACTTTATNTCTTTTGAAATAAATTTGCGTGACACAACAACTTGATGTGACAGCAAGAAATGTCACATTGACTTTTTCGCGTAAAATTTTTTTTCGTAAACAATCACGTGGTATGTTAAACAACCAATAATGTGTCAAAAAAAACAATCTATCTCTAAGAAGTGTCCTTTACGCGGTCAATGTGTCTCACATGTAAAAAGTGTAAATAAAGACTCTGGCAGCCCCCCAATCCATTCGAAATGTTGACAACGACAAATAAATGTCTCTCCTTTCTACTCTAGTATTTAAAAAAATTGTCTTAAAGACGTAGAAAAAAAGTTTTTAGCTGAGCAGAATTTTCGAGTGCGACAACACTGTCACGCTTTAGTATATATAATAGATAATAATAAGTGGTATCCACGGCAACCAATGACCATGGTCACATAAATCCCTGCCAGGCATCTGTTAACTTTGACGATAAATTTTTGTGAATTTTTTATGAATCAAATGCTACGAGATCCATTTGGATTTATTCTAAGTTATGTTTGGAATCTGAGGTAAATTCTTTTATTAAATATTTTCGATTAATTGTCTAATAATCGTCCAATGTCAAAGTTGACAGATGCCTGACAGCGACTAGTGAGACCATGGTCATCTGTTACCTTGGATATTATCCATTCAAAATGCCTACTTTTTGGTGTCAGCGTTGTGCAGTCCTCAGTTTAAATTAAAGTATCTTTGAAACGGTCCATTTTACGGATATTAAAGGTTATGCGTTTTTTAATCGAAATTGATTACTCTATCGATATGGGCAATAAAAAATTGGTGTTAAGAGAGCAAAAAAAAAAAATGAAAAACACAGAAATTTTAACCTGCAACTGCTGGAACCGGAAATTGAGTGGATGTATCCGGTTTTCGTGATTACCAGTTTAAAGGGTATGTTGTCACAGGGAAATGTTCCAAATTTTATAATATTTGGTCAAATAGTTCCAAAGTTATTACAAAAAAATCAAATTTCCATACCCACATTCCGAGGGCTGTAAAATTCTTATCAGTGGAGATAGGACACGAGTTATTATTTAAATTAAAATCATTTTATAGGTCATTTTTGAYGTTCAAATATTGCTTTATATTTATGAATAACTAATATTTATGAATTTTTGAATTTTCGCATGGTTTCCACATTAAAATGATTTCTTTCAACGACTACTTCGGTGCACAGTAATATGAAAACGGGTATATACAGAATGTTTCACAAAATTTTACGAGGCTTCCGCCTGTAAGATATTTCGATACGAACTCGATTACAAATTTTGAAAAATTGGATAATCTTCTCTAGTTTGTTCACCCTTTCAAAAATTACAACGTTTTTAGTTAGTTAGTGATTACGGATTTAGTGATTAAGATAAACTAATAATCCAAAACATCAAGACACATCACATTGATTGGTGTCACGATTTTTGAAAATTTATATCTAATTATTGTGTTTCTTGAATTATAAAGTGAAACYGATAATAATTTGTATTTATCAATAACGTAAATAATAAAGTCTAATGAGAGAGTTGTTGCTTCCAGCAACAGATTCTGATGTCAACGGTTTCAAGGTTTGTGTTTGCTATTTTATTTAGTAATTCAAAAATATTATAATTCGAGGTTACTGAACGGTAATATAACGTAGTAAACAGTATTTTAAAATACGTAAAAAAAACAAAAAAAAAGTAAAATTGTAATTTTATTTATGTCTACAATGAGAGATTTATGTAACACTAAATCTCAAACACTAGAAATTAATATGTATGTATAACATTGTACTTTTCATATCTCTATTTTATCTTAAAATATATACCTATCATATAGGTAGTTTTTAATATTTATTAAAGTACAAGTACACTGCATCACGTATCTTCACGTGACAATTGATTTTTGTTGCAACAAAAGCTTCCTTGTATCAACTGAACTTTTAACTAAAAACAAGTTGCTAATTTATACTCGTATGTAGGTAGTAAATTACAAATTAAATTAATTTCCTGTCGACTTCAGATATCTAGTCATTAAAAAAGAAAGARATACATTAAATAATTTGTATTACATAACTAAGTTCTTCAACTGTGTTTAAAAACTTATACAGGGCTTTCATTTCAAAAGGAGCCAGTTTCAATAACTTTTGACATTGAGTAAATGTATTTTTAGCAAAAACAGGGCGATTAGGATGGCGAGGGGAAATTTCAAAACCAAAATTAGTTAATTATAATAATTGAATCTGTCAAAGACTACTAGGACTCACAATTTTAAAAATAAAACCACCCTTAACTAAAAAACGAATCGACAAACAAWTTTTTCTTTGACAGATAGATACGCTCATTTTTTCCCTTTCCAAACATGTTTTTAAAAGTAGGGGGTTATATTTAAAATCTTAAAGTAGGGGTGGCTAGGAGATGAAACCTAAAATGTAACGAATGTTTTTGCTTAAAAATACATTTAGTCAATGTCAACACTTATTGAAACTGGCTTCTTTTGAAATGAAAGCCCTGTATAAAGATGATGTAAAGTAAATCTTGAATTCTAGAATCATTTGGATTTAACAATGTTCATMTTAACCATTGCATTTAATCCTCCATACTAGTGTTAAATATTTTTTTTACAAAGTTTGTCATTAACTCAGCAAAATAACTGAAAAAAAAAGAAAGAAACATGACAAAATGTTGCTTGTTTTTTGAAACGTTTAAAATTCTTTCATCATTTTAAATGAATAATGCTTTTAGTATTAAGAGACTCATTTCATYTATAAACTCTCTAAACACTWTTTATTTCATTCATTACTTGCATAAGGCAATAAAATATGGACTTTCATGATGTTGCAGATAATTTCAAATACTTTCTTAGTGTTTATGTATTTTTTTCTGGTCTAGTGATTTTGATGAAAATTGCGTAACAGACCACTGGAATATATTCCTACATAGTTACAATCAAAAGACGGAAACTAATTTTCCTGAGTGAAGCCATTAAATTGCACTAATAAATAATAACAGTAGATAAATCAGAATAAGTGATTAGAGTAGCCTTTCAAACCTTTCACCATGTGAATCGCACTTTATACTACATTCGTTTTCTTTATAATATAATTAAAGCAGAAATATAATTTCTAATCAATTTTATTTTTCTTGGTTGTAACATACGTATGCGTGCATTTTTTCAATTTAGTATGTTTCTAATTATTCAGATATCCGTTATAAACCAGTTTACTGCTATCTCATTATTACGAATTTTGCAGATTATTACTTTATAAAATCAATTTCAAAGAACCATAAAACCAATAATGTAACCATTCAATTTCTGCAAAAATACATAATTGTTATCTTACATTTAATTCCAATGAAATTTTAGTGAAAGTAAAGAGGGGCTCCTGCTACCACTTCCATGTTTGCCTCGACTTAAAACAATACAATTCAGCGAAATAATTAGTCACAAAATTTCCCAACGAAGCCTTCAACGAAGCAACATGACGTTTTTGCTCATTTCTTCTCGCGCTTGAGCAGGTAGAAAGATCTTCTAAAGAACGGAAATCAGCCTTCCGTACCAATCGTACCAGCTAAACGCCCCACTCTGGTCCCAGACTTCCCCCAGCAAACCACGCTTTTGTAAATGTTTGTGTTATGTTTTTGAATTGTTCAACACCAACCAAATGTTTATCAGTTTATTGTGTGTGCATGCGAAGAGATAAAAAAGAACAATTCCATAAATTCCTCCTAATCATTTTTAGTTAATTGTGTGATAAAATAAGTGGTTAATTTGGTGCAAGTATGGATTTGGCCAAAGAAAATGATATAGGGTGGATGGAAGGTGAGTCTTTCAACATTTTTTTTTCTCCTTATCGAGACATATTAAGTGCACAAATGTGGTAAATAATGAAATCACCGAATTTTTCATAGGCCAAATATTCCCGCTTATCTGCTTGCTATCACAGCGTTATCAAACAGGCAAAAATTATCCGATGCTGTGATTACTCATCAATAAGTTCATAAAATAACTGCAAATGAAGCAATGACCTACTAGACTAGCTGTAGATTATTGTCCCACTTTCTTTTCTGATGTGTACGACTCAGTAATTTGCTTAGATTCCAAAATTTGGTAATACTTCCGGTTTTAAATTTTGTAACGTCATCTTTCGACTCGGTGGGTGTTGAAACAAATTTATCTCAATTATCATTTCCAAAAAGCGTAAAATATCGAATTTCAGATGCATATCACCTCACTGCGCATTTTTGTATCACCAAATTGATCAAGTACTACTTTAAAAACAATTTTTGGCAAAACTGTGATCGCTCTTTTGACCTAGCGATAAAAAACAACAAATGACATAATTTTTATCGTCTCCAGGAAAATATTCCATTTGATGAAACGAGTTAATAATAATGTTTAAATACAAGGTCATTTTGAATAAATTCGGTATTTTTTGTTTGTTGGTCAATTGTTGATATGCATGAAACTTATTATTTATCGCATAGGTAGGAAAGTAATCTACTTTTTTGCTCACCATTACAATGGAAAATAGTTCCAATTGACCTACAGTGGTAAATGTAAAATTTTTCGCTTAATAGAAGGCAGGAATTTCATWTACATATTTACCAGAAAATGGTTTCCCCCACTTTTTCATTTAATCGGTTTATAATTATAATGGTATGCACCTCATTAGTCCAACAATTTTAAAGTACTTAATTTTTCACAAATTTGTAACAATTTTTTTTGAGTTACTAGAAAATTTTCTGGGGGATTCTCTCAGAACTATGAGTTTATAAATTACTTAACTCAACTACTAATAAAAAATGGCGAAATAGTTTGTATTTAATGAATTACTAGAATAATTGAGGAAGAATTAAAGTGATAAATTATAAGGAGATTACTCTAAATACTAATTAAATATCAACTATTGTGTCTGCTTATTTGTGACAGCTTATATGTCAACGAACGGAAACTTAACCATTTTGTTTGAGTATTTTGACACTAAAACATTGTTACTAGGAAGTTGAATTTACTCTGTTGTTGCGGTTTCTTAATCACATTAACGGTTAACTCAAAATAACTTGTTTCACATTTTTGCATTGTAAAGAAAGTGAAACTATTTTTATTTCATAGTGTAATTGCAGGCACCGGAAATATAAAATCAAATATTTACCAAATTTTTAGATGTTTCCGCTCAATACTATTTCAGTAGAACAAAATTAAGCTCCTTTAAGTCACGTGTATTCAATAAAAATTAATCAAAGATCATAAATGCCAATTGCAGATATGACGACGTATTTGCGTGAAATAAAAATCATATTAAATGTTATTTGCTCGAATTATGACAATACCGAGAAGTATGTAAGAACAAATGWTAACAATTTTATTGCTATAGTGGAAGGGGACTATTACAAATGTTTAAACATGTCAAGAAATACTTTTGAACTTATTTCCTTAACAATGCCTTTAAAGAATTCATTTGCGTACTGTAATGACTAGTGAAAGCCTCTTTAAGGTTGATAACAATATGAGTCACTAAAGATTTTGACTGTTGTAAATACGTCTGAATTTTACAGTCATTATGATAGCAACAATCCATTTTTTAAAAMTTAAATTTGGCTTTCGCAATTTATAACCCACTTGAACACATCTTAATATAATAAAATAATTAATAATAAATTTTTATTACAATATGTGCAATATCCAAAACATTAAAAAAATATTTCGCAAGACAATTCAGGTTGCCATAAACTTAATATGCAGGCCTTGATGGATCACGACATTCCTTTTGTGGACTGTTTACGTTTACGTAACAAAGTTATTCTTTGTTAGGTAACAATTGCACTAAATGAAAAGACTTACATTTCTTTTTTTTTTAGATAATTCTAGTCAATCTACCAGTATTCCGGAAATAATTGAAGAATCTAATGAAATCGGAACAGTGGTGATCTTTGTGATTTCAGCGATACTTACCATTACGTTGCTCTTTGTAGTGGCCATTTTCATAGACTGCAGACAACAGTAAGTACATACATCGATAAAAATTAAGCTTTTGTGTCATAGRCAGTGTAATTAAGATCAAATCTTTGTTCATAGTTGATTTTTACTAACTCRCTTATGTAAAATATTTGACGTAAATAAAGTTGGTCATAATTTTTATCTTATCGCCAGTTAAAAAAAGGACTTATCTAATAGATACAAATCTGAATATTTCAGAAAATTAATCAACCTGCAACAACAACGCAAACCAAAGAAAGTATTAAAAATAAAAATCCCGAAACTTGGAATGGGTCGTGCCATCCGTGAAGACGAAGACACCTTCGCCGATAAAATGCAGGAACCTGAACCATCCTCATCTCATGTGATAGTCTAATTAATTAAATTTAGCTCAATTGTAAATATCTCTTAATTAATATGGTCTTAATTTACACGAAAAGACTGACGGTGAAATAAAAGTATGTTTTACTTAACTCCTTTTATTTCGAATTAACACTTCCCTAAAACCATGGCTAAAAGAGCCATTCTGACATACATCCCACATTCTGCCTGTCTGAAATAGGCTGCTCGAGGGTCTGTATCAAACTCAYGACTGATTTCAAARACCCTGGGCAAGGGGTGAAGCACTACCATTTTTCTCTTGGCCCTTGTCATTAATTGTGGGGTTACGATGAAGTGGCCACAAGCCTGAAATATCACGATTAAACCAAATCCTAATCTGGTTTTAACCCACCTTATCGTACTCCTCTTGGGAACTAAACCGTTCTCTCTGAATTCGAGTCATATACAATACATCGGTATCTGGGAGTACCTCTTCAAGGGTACTATATTCGTTTTGAGGTATCCCTTTAGAGGRCACAAAGCTGGTTATATGACTRGGCATTTTCAAACTCTGAGGGCTTACGTAACGCAGTTGCACGTTGTATAGTGTCAACAAACGTGCAAGGGAATGTACAGTGCGTCCATTTTTCAAATCACCAACTAGAGTAATGGTGAGACCGTTGACAGTACCGATTTCTTCCCGAATTGTGAAAATATCAAGCAGGGCTTGACTTGGGTGTTCGCCAATTCCGTCACCGGCGTTGATCAGGGGTTTACGGCAGTGGTGGGACGCCCTCTGTAACCGAATCGGTTAAACCGGCCGAAATGTTTGTTTACGTTTAAACATACCATAACCGATCCAGGAGTCGGATGCCTCAACACAACAACATCGGAATACCCCGCCATGACTGCAACTGAATCCTCCAAAGTCTCCCCTTTRTTCACCGAAGAACTTGTCTCGTCCATATAAATCACCCCACCTCCCAATCTRTGCATAGCAGCCGCGAAACTGCAACTCGTCCGAGTACTAACCTCGTAGAAAATGGARGCCATGACTTTCCCCTTCAYAATGTGATCAACTGGTCGATCCTTACTGACATTAACTCGAAAAGATTGGGCCAAGTTGAAAATATCATTYAGTTGGTCTTTGGTGAACATATCGACCGAAATGATGTGTTTATTAGCAAGACTGTGGTGGGGTTGCTCCATTTGGGAGAAACTATCAGTGCGGATACGGGGGCCCACAGGGGTGGGGGAGGTGACGCCAAGTCGACTATCAACGTGGAGTTCGTTAGTGGCAGAGAATTGGACTTTTCCACCCCCGGATAACAATTTCTTGAAAATTTCGTTAGTCTGGCCGTCGTTGTACTCCCCACCGGTAACAACGGGAGGGTTTACAACCTCGTCGTAGGTTTTTTTCGATTCCCAATTTCGGACGTTTTGCCCAAAACCGGGCTGGACCAAAATTTGGCCGTCGACGAAGGCCACTTCTCCTCGTAGGACAACCCGGTGAACAGCCCCCTTAACCTTTCTGCCGGCAAAAGGAGTCCATTRTGCTTTACTATAAGCCGTTGTGTCGGGAATAGTCCACTCCTCATCCAAATCGATTTCAACATAAGTGTTAGGTTGGTCCGGCAAGTTGAAAATTCTCTTCGGATTCAGATAAAACTTGGTGATAATATCATCAARGGTCAATTTCTTTTCGTTAACTGCATTTAGGAGTAAAGGGAGGATGGTTTCAAGCCCGGGGAAACCTGGGGGAGGGTTCGAACTGGTCTTCTCCTCCAGAGTATGAGGGGCATGATCGGTGGCAAAACAATCAATCATGTGTAAATTATCCCAAAGGGCTTGTTGGTCCTCTAGTGACATTAACACCGGTCGAACTTGACTTTTGCACACCCCCAAAGTTTTAATATCTTCAGTTGATAAAAATAGGTGGTGAGGGCAAACCTCACAGGTGATATTCAAGCCTTTCTCTTTTGCCGCTTTAATAATCAAAATTTCTTCTTTTCGAGCAACATGACAGATGTGAATTGGCCGATTTTGCAAACTTGCCATCAAGATAATAGCAGCAGTSGTTTGGCCTTCTGCATGTACACAAATCGGGGCTTTTTTGGGCCAATTTGCCAAGTGTTTGCCCCACGTATTAAGATCGTTGAGTCTCAAGGTTGTGAAAGTCTCATTGAGGTACATTTTGAGACCTGCGACTTCGTGTGCTAGTTCTGATATTGTGGAGTAGTTGTCTGAGGAGGCCCCCATGTAGATAGCATAATCACATCGGGCATTTTTCCGTGCTATATCTTTGACTAGCTTTAGAGTTTCCTGATTTGTGACAGCAGGATTAGTGTTAGGCATCGCACAAATCATGGTGACTCCTCCTGCCAAAGCAGCAGCGGTGCAAGAGGCGTAGTCTTCCTTGTGAGTAGCTCCGGGTTCTCTGACATGAACATGGGTGTCGATGAGCCCTGGTAGCTTGACCAGTCGGCGAGAAGATATACAATCCGTGTGTGTTTTCATTGGAGGAGGAGCTTTTCCAATACGTCTCAAAGCCTCTACTAGAAGTTTAGTACATTTGACGTCGGTMACGAGAGGAATAGAGTAGTCTATAGCCAAACGCCGGGTTCTGTACCCATGTGTCATGAAAGAAGACACTCTTCGCGCACCCCCATTTCGCATGGGAAGATTAATAACCAAATCAAATTGTTTCTTTGATAAAAACTCTGCCAAGTGTTTAAGTTCTCCTTGACTCGTTATGGCATCAATGTTTTCAAAAGTCCATTGTACTGACTCGACCTAATCAACAAAACAATTAAAATAGTCTCGAGAAGGAAAAAATAGTTTTTTTGCATCCTAATCTAATCTCTCTATCTGTCAAGTATCTGAGATAAAAAATAAAGTTTTAAAGTATCGAGAAATGGAGAGTACTAATATGTGTGTTCGCGGTTAAGATGGGCAATTGCCATTCGCACAAGTCCGAAAAGCCGAAGGGTAGAGTGTCCACTAAACCGCGGCAAAGTCATTTAGACTGGGATTCGATCATGACTCAGGAAAATGACGGTGGTGCTATGTCGCAGATGACCTACGATGAAGTGGAAGTGGCCAAAATGAAGAAAGAGTTGCTTGAGTCACCCCAAATTTTTGTGTTGAACAATTTGTTGATGTCGGTTATGTTTTTTGAAAATTATGAAAGGTGAGTCTTTTTGAGTTATCGGAAGGTCAAGTGACTTTGGAATTCGTTGGAAATTTGAATTATCTTATCTACGAAATTTTTCGCATTTTTCGGAATGTACCTTGTGAAAATAAATTATTTTAATCTATAACTGTAATAAGGAAGTTGACCCGAGATTGAATTGGGTCAAATGTTTTTAATCTACAATTTATTTAAAGCTTCTTGTAAAAAACTCAAGGATGTGATGCGATAGATTAAGTACATTTACTTGTACAGTTGGAGACAAAATACTTTGCTCGTCAATGTCAATTGAGTGACATTAAAATGTAAAGCATGCTTTAGGACTGTTAACCTTTATTTTTAGCTACTGTCAATCATAGTAGACAAGTTGTACATATTTTTGATAGGAAAATATAATAGCTGTCATTAATTTGAAATTGTCATTCATTTTAACGTTAAAGCTTGAATCACATTAGTGTCAGAAAAGTGACGACCAAAGTATTTTGTCTCCAACTGTATTTAAAATTAAAGTAACCCGAAATCGGGTTACTTTATTTAATTTTTCACTTTTCATTTCAATAATACAATTATTTTAAAAGATTTAATAAAATCATTTTAACATAAACAAGATTTAAAAGTAACTAAAGTAACATAAAAAAGAACCACTCATAAGGCAGTAAATAAATAAAAAGCATATGACGTGTTTCCTATCAATCTTTTTGTGGTAACTTCGCAACTTTCAAATATAACTATTTGTGACATGTATATTACATTATTCAGAATGACTGTGTTGAATACTCAAAAAGTTTTTATTTCTACTTTTCATTAGAGTTTTAAAATCTCGTTAGCATTTATTTTATAATTTGATTTTTTCAAGAATTACTGTTGTAATATTCCCAACCTTTCGTAAGTCAAGAAATGTCATTGCATCCCTAGGTAGGGAAGTAACTTATGTAGCATTACCCAGGTTCAAGTCCATCAAATATCAAAAACGGAATTTGTTTGCATAGTATGCACCTTCGTGCATTCGGTTATACGTCTCGGAGTAATGATATATTTCCCATCTGGATTATAATCGAGATTATAATACATATACTTTTATACGTAAGGCCGATATGTATGAAATAACAGACAAGATTTTATGTCAAATAATGTCAAACTTGACGCAAGTAGTCTTTCGGGTGTGCCTTTTGTATAGCAGCATGCATAACAATGTCTGTTAACGGCTTTTAACAGCCTAGACTATTATCGTTGCCATTACAAGTATGGAGACAGTACGGATTTATTAAATAACAATCAAGTATTACAAAGAGGTATTAAATTGTACATTCTCCAAAAGCTAGAACCTGCATTATTTTGAACCAAAAAAGGCAGAAATGTTTCAAAACTAAAACTGTTAATAAACTGGTCCTTTTAAAAGAAAGTTGTTTTCCTAATATACATACACGAAACAGGGTGGTTTTCAAATAGGTAATAATTTTACAAAGTGTTAGACCTTGACATACAGAATAAAAAAGTCTTAATAATCTATTTCGTAACTAAAAAAATGTTAACTTGCTGAGCAAATGGTACAGCATTTCTGGGTTGTTGTGAATGTTTTCGCTGTTTTAAAAAAACGTTCGCGTAATGTGCTTTAATCCAATTTCTACATTGTAAAATATTGTTTAATTTAATTCCAATACTTGAAATATAGAATAAACAAATAAACACAGTTCCAGACAGAAACTTTGTGATAACGAAAAAGTGTATTTTTGTTGTATGTTATAAATTATAATCTAGCACCCTTAAATCCTGTAAAAACTATTCCTATTATTTCAAAACAACCCTTTATGTAAGTTTATAGTTGTAACAAAAAATCGCTCAAAAAATATTTTTGAGAAAAATTTCCAGGTGTAATATAAGAAATATAGGTTGTCAATAATTTGATTTGCTGTAAAACATGGTGACCTGAGCCATTTTCAAATAAACTTATTAGTAACGTATTTAATTACTTTGACCTACTTTGTATCAAAAGTTTTAATAATCTGTAAAATAGGACAACTTTACACATCTAAAAATAAGTCATTTGTAATTATTATCTCTCATTAAAAACACAGAATCATTCAAAATGACAAGATTTAATCGTAATGTCAAAAAAACCCAAGTATATGTAGAAAGATAATGTTCAAGAGGATGCATTTTGAATAGCTATATTGACTTACAATAAATAATCTAGTTCGAAATTCACAATTTTTACAAAAACTCTTTATTACACTGTGATAACATCACATAATGAGATATCTTAATTTTTTCTCTTCGTTATCTTTATAATGTAAATTATTAAATCTAGCTTAAAATAAACTACACTTAAAAAAATATCGGTAAACATGTATCACACTTAGAAAAGATGTTCTAGATAAATAATTACAAGAAATGCGATATTTTTTTGCTACTTCAACGTATCATTTACGTTATAAGAGTTAGATGAAATCAACAAAATCTGTTAATTGTGATTTTCTTAATTTACATTCATTAAARACATTCCGAATGCATTTTTTATATCTTTAAATTTATCAAATTCATGTCAAAAAAAAGATACTGGTGCGTATCTGAGACATCTCGTKTTTCTACATTGCAATATTATCGCAAAACAAAATTCTTACATCACTGATCAAAATTGATTGATTTCAGGGAAAAACAAAGATTTATGCATTCAAGCCGAACAACTATCGAAAAAGAACTAAATCCGACCTTGCTCCGTGACGAAACTATCGAATGCGTCATTCCTGATGTTATTTTCGAAAATGTGCACAAAAATGTTAAATTTCGACGATTGCACGGCCCCAATAAAAACAACATTGAACCTTTGGTACCTCGACGATACTACGTTGTTAACGACAATATAGAAGTCTTGGAGACAAAAAACACCCCCCAATATAGTGCCATCGACAAACCTGGGTACCAAGTTGTCGTCGAAAAATCCGAGGAGCATTTTGGTTTCGTCAAACTGAAATGTGCCCCTAGTCAACCGCGCACAATCGAGCCTGATTCGGCCTTGGCTGAGAAGGAACCCAAACCTGGGTCTTCGACTCAAATGGACGATTCAGAAATCTACGAATACTCGACGATAGCAAGTGTCAATACACCAAAGCCTCTAGATATCACAAGTTGCGAAAGACGAGACACACTACCTAAAACGTGTTTCTCGGCAAAAATAATTCGAAAATATGATGAAGCGTCTGATGACTCGGATGAKGAGGAAGCACCGACGGAAAACCCGGAAGAAGCGAAAGAATTGTACGACGTTGTGTCTTATATTTCCTCAAATGGGTTCATGAAATACATCCAAAATGCTGTTTTCCCCAATTCGCTAGGTTTGGCTCTAGGTTTCGATGCGAATGAAATCGCCTTGGCTAAAGCCATCCCTGGGAAGATTTTCTGTAACCTACAAGATGTCAATGAGGATTTTGCAGTGTTACCGTGCGAAATTGTGCCTTCAGTGGCCATCCAGTGGCCGATTGAGTTCACTTTTGAGTTCCACAATCGGGCTGAGAGACCCACAATGTGGGACAAATTCGGCGAAGAGTACAAGTGGCCTAAAGTCAACATGATTAACGAAATTCGGGGCTTGAGTTGCGTCCTCGTCCCTCGGGGTTACATCCCCAAAAGGGGGGAAAACCCCGACATTGAAATCGAGTGGGAAATCGGGTTTCCCAAAGCTCAGAGATACCTAGACACTCACATGTCCCATACCCAAATTCGGGCTTTCCTCTTTTTGTTAACAATCTACAAATCGTTCATTGAACCGGTTAATAAACAGTACGATGGGCTTTTGGTCGACCACATCCGCACCCATATGTACTGGGAATGCGAATCAAATCCCAGGGATTGGCCCGAGCACAGACTTGGGACAAAACTCGCCATCGTAATACGAAACTTTATGCAAAAATTATCATCCGGAGTGCTACCCGATTTTTTCATTAAGAAGAAAAACATGTTTTTGAATGTTCCCAACAAGCATTTGAGACATGCCCAAAAAATCTTCCACGAGGTGTTAGAATCACCGGCCATTTATTTTTTGGGAGCGTTGAGGAATTTGAAATATACAAACCCAAAATTTTATCCACAATTCGATTTTAAAGAATTGTATAGACTTCTCACAGCTGATACAAGTCTAATGGTTAATCCACGAATAGTGCGACCGCCTAATTTAATTCCGAAAAATCGACAAATGGTCAAAGTCGAAGGCGATGCCAATTATAGAAAGGAGATCAAGTGGAAAAGTGAGAAAGAGAAGCAAACGAGAAAACTCGTGTTACAGAAAAGGAAAGAGCAAGAGCAACGTGAGGAGAATCTCAAATTGGAAAAACGAGGATCGGTGGATTCCATCGATTATGAGGTTTGTATGATTTTAATAAAATAAATCTCTAAGTGTTAAGAATTGTTTACTTTTCCAGCTTCAATGTGAACCACAATTCCATCGATTGAAAATCCGGGAAATTCTCATGTTCTTCATAAGACACTTCATCGACATGGCTCGAAAAAGTCGGCGACTGGCCAGCCAAAGACAAGCTTTATTCTACTTAAAACAAGCTTATTATCTAGGAAAAATCCTTGAAGATTTCGGTCTCCATGCCGATGCACAAGAATTGCTTGAACAAGTAACCAAAGAAGAGGAAACGTCGAAAAAAATATCAGTTTCAGAATCGCTTGAATTCCCACCATCGACTCCTAAGCGCAATTCGGCTCAGTTTAATTGGGAAATGACCCAACAAGTCAAAGGAAATAATATCAACCTAAACAATTTAAACAAGTCGTACAACAACACGTCTGGGGCTCCACAAAACTTTTCCAAACTGAAGAAACACCCTAGTAGTTTAAAAAATCGATCGAGTGTTTTGCTGAGGAATAATAGTACTTGTCAGAATGAGGATCGGAGATCGGTGGAACCGCCAGTGAGGAGAAGCGTTGTTGGGTTTTCTGACACTGTTGAAATACGATAACATCGGAAGATTTTACCGTCGATTTAGATTTGACAGTTTGTACTGTTTTCTGTGTTATTGTAAAATTAGTATGCTATGTATACTTAGTACTTACTTTAACTCCATGTTCATTGTAAAAATCAGCGGTGCCCAGACTTGCATATAACTTATATCCCATTCTTTGCAACTCTCTCATGCTGGGCAACAATTCCATTTTATGCTACAAATAAAATGAGTTATTTTTTTAGTTTAGTGTGACTCAAAACCGAACCTTGAAACTTCCAATTGATAATAAAATTGATTTTTCGGGGATACTAAATCCAGTACTCATCATGGCCTTCAAATATGCCTCGTACCGATTGTCCCCAAAACAGGCAACTTCCCCAGTTGACGCCATCTCAACACCTAACATAAAATCAGCACCCGCGAGACGCGAAAACGAAAATTGGGGCACCTTAACCCCCACTTTGCCACAACCCGCGAGCACATCCACCGGTTGTACCAACTCTCCAACCATCACTCGAGTCGCCATCGCGACAAAATCATGATCTAAAGTTTTAGAAACAAAAGGAAAAGAACGCGAAACTCGCACATTACACTCAATCACTTTTAAATCATTGTCTTTGGCGATCAATTGCATATTGAAAGGTCCAGTAACTTCCAAAGAGGCCGCTATAGCTTTACAAATCTGTGTAATCTTCCCTAAAGTTTCATCGTTGATATCCTGCGGTGGAGTGACCAGTGTTGCGTCCCCGGAGTGAACCCCAGCGTTTTCCACATGTTCCGAGACGGCCATACAGAGAATAACCCCGTCACAGGCGACCGCGTCAACGTCGATTTCCTTCGATTCGAGGATGAATTTCGAAATGACAACCGGATGTTCCTTACTAACGTCACTAGCAGCGTTCAAATACGTTTCCAAGTCTTGGTTCGAGTGGGCCACATTCATGGCAGCGCCACTCAAGACATACGAGGGTCGTACCAAACAAGGGTACCCCACTTCTTCGCAAAACTCGATCGCTGATTTGAGATTAGTGAGTTCCTTCCAACGGGGCTGCATAATCCCGATTCGGTCCAACATTCGTGAAAATTTAAATCGGTTTTCTGCACCATCGATCGAGTCGGGGGAAGTACCCAAAATCCGGGCTTGTTGCCGGTGTAGGTCTATAGCTATGTTGTTGGGGAGTTGGCCACCCATTGAGAGGATGATACCGACCGGGTCCTCAATATTGTAAATGTCCATCACAACCTCGAAAGAGATTTCTTCAAAGTAGAGGCGATCTGACATGTCGTAGTCGGTACTGACTGTCTCCGGGTTGTAATTAATCATTATTGTTTTGCGACCTAATCGGCGCAACTCCCGGAGACACCCAACAGCACACCAATCGAACTCCACTGAACTCCCGATGCGGTAAACCCCCGATCCTATGACCATAGTGTGTTTTTCCTCGAAAGTCAAGTCGTGCTCAAAAGCATTGTATGTCAAGTAGAGATAGTTAGTGGTGGCCGGCCATTCCGCCGCCACTGTGTCAATTTGTTTGACATATGGCTTAATCCCAAACTCCTCTCTTTGTTTCCTGATGGCTAACTCAGTACTCTTCACAGCAGTAGCGATTTGCTTATCAGAAAACCCAATCTGTTTAGCCTTCAATAAAATATCATGCGACAGATGCAACTGGTCTATGGTTTCCAAAAATGTGGTCCAATCGACTATTTTCTTCATCTTCTCCAAAAACCAACGATCAATTTTGGTCAACTCGTAGAGCTTATCGATGGAGTACCCTTTTTTGAGAGCCGCCGCCACCACAAACATCCTTTTATCTGTGGGTTCCTTCAATTCCTCATCGTTGACTTCTTTGAGATAAGGGTCAAATCCCATCACATTTTCGTCAACCATTCGCAACGCCTTCTGGAATGCTTCTTCGAACTTTCGCCCAATTGCCATAACCTCTCCTACACTTTTCATCGAGCTCCCGATTTTGGTACTCACTCGTGAGAATTTGTGTAAGTCCCAACGCGGGATTTTGACGACGCAGTAGTCAAGACTTGGCTCAAAACACGCAGTGGTGACCCCTGTGACAGAGTTGTTTATATCGGGGAGGGGTACACCCAAGGCTAATTTGGCGGCAATGTACGCAAGTGGGTACCCTGTTGCTTTACTAGCCAAAGCCGAGCTTCGAGACAACCTGGCATTAACCTCAATAATGTAAAACTCTTCAGAGTTGGGATTAACGGCATATTGGATGTTGCATTCCCCTATGACTCCGAAATGTCTAATGACTTTAATCGCAGTAGTTCTTAACATGTTGTACTCCCGATTTGAGAGAGTCTGACTTGGGGCGACCACAATCGACTCTCCTGTGTGTATCCCCAAAGGATCGACGTTCTCCATATTACACACTGTGATGCAATTGTCGAATGCATCCCTCACGACCTCATACTCGACTTCTTTCCATCCTTTGAGTGACTTATCTATAATAAGTTGACTCGAGTGGGCTAAAGCTTGAACAGCCAAAGTCTTAAGTTCGTCTTGAGTGTTGGCAAAACCGGATCCAAGTCCCCCTAGAGAAAACGCAGCTCGGGCCATGACTGGATATCCCAATTGCGCAGCTGCGTCCAAAACCTCCTCGACGGAATGTGCAGCCATGCTTGGAGCTACCTTTTCTCCAATCGCTGCAATTCGTTCTGTGAAAATCTTCCGGTCTTCGGTATCAATAATAGCCTGGATTGGGGTCCCCAAAATTTGGATATTGTACTTGTCGAAAATACCGTTTTTTTGCAGCTCGACTCCACAATTGAGACCTGTTTGCCCCCCAAATGTTAATAAGACGCCTCCGGGGCGCTCAACCCTGATAACTTGTTCAACGTACTCGGGTACTAGAGGCAAAAAATAAACTTTATCGGCCAAACCTTTAGATGTTTGAACTGTCGCGATGTTGGGGTTTATCAAAACAGTTTGGATGTTTTCCTCACGGAGGGCTTTAATGGCTTGAGAGCCGGAATAGTCAAACTCGCCCGCTTGGCCGATTGATAGACCCCCAGAGCCGATTATTAAAACCTTTTTGGGCCTTTCGGGCAAATGGGGGGTTCCCAAATAGGTCAGTTTTTGAGTGAGGAGGATTTTCGCCGTCTGTTTAGGGTTTTTAACCAAGTCTAGGAACACATCGAAAAGACATTCAAGGTCTTGGGGGCCGGCTGTGTGTTCAGGGTGGAACTGAACGCTAAAAAATGGGAGTTTGGAGTGGATTATCCCTTCGTTACTCTTGTCGTTAGCATTAGTGAAGAGGATTTCCCAATCGTTGGGAAGTGTATCAGTATTGATAGCAAAACCGTGGTTTTGGGACGTCATGTAACAACGTTTGGTACCATTATGGGTGCATGGCTGGTTGTGTCCACGATTACCATATCTGTGAAAAAGTTTATTGAGACTTTTGTTAGAAATGGATAGTGTGTGTTACTTCATCTTGTAGCTTTTGCAACCTATAGCGACTGAAAGGAGTTGGTGGCCGAGACAAATACCAAAAATTGGTTTAATCGTTGGTCCCTTCATTACGTCTTTGATGTTGTTGATTGTGGTTTGACACATGGTTGGGTCTCCTGGACCATTACTAAGAAAGAGACCATCATAGTCATTAACGTTTAATTTGTGATCCCATGGTACTAAATCGACTCGAGCTCCCCTACTTATCAAACACCGAATTTGGTTATATTTCAAACCACAATCAACTGCACAAATCCTTGGACTTCCCCCAGAATTGTACGTCACAATTTTCTAAACAAAAAATTATTTGGACTTAAAATTTGGACTACTAGTAGTCAAATACCTTAACTGACACTTCCTCGACCAAATTCCTCAAATTGGGATCAACAATTTTTAAATTTTCGGTCACAATAGGCAAATTGTAAACAATACGCCCTAGAATCGTCCCTTTTTCGCGAATTTTCTTGGTAAGGGCTCTAGTATCAATTCCTTGAATCCCGGGGACATTTTCCGATTTCATCCAATCAGAAAGAGTCCTGAAATTGTGCCAATGGCTCGGATTGTCGCAATGTTCACCTACGACGAGGCCAGCAGCCCAAATTCGGTGAGACTCAAAAAAACTGAACGGGATTAAAATAAATTCGAAGGGGATTCATTTATCTTACTAGGGTAACCCATGTGGATCTTGGACCGATTTGGGGACACCATAATTACCCACAAGGGGGTATGTGAGAACAAGAATCTGGGCATGGTAGCTGGGGTCGGTTAGAGATTCGGGGTAACCGACCATGCCCGTCTGAAAAACTAAATTTTGGAATAGTAAGAAAATTTATTTATTGCACAATAACCTTGAAACAGATCCCGAATGTATGTTTACAGACGGTTTAATTGATTTAACTTTGAGGTCAACTGATACAAGACGAAAAACTTTTATTGAAAATTGATAATAAAAAGGTAAAAATTCTATCTCAATATTATGATACTGATAATACAGAACGCCACTGAAACATTCTTGATCAATATTTGTTTGTCATCAGCGAACAAAATTTTCCAACTATGCAACTATGCAACTATAATAAATAGTTATAGAAATATTTATGTATTAAAGACATAATAAAAAAATTATGGTCCGAGGAAATCTGGAAATGTTTAAGGGTAGTAATAAAGCGTTCAATAAATAATTCAATTTTGATCAGTATAAAATCATAAATGATCAGTATTTAATTAATTTTTGCACAGTAAAAATAATAAATGCCAAGTAAAGCACGCACAGTAATCAAAATTAGTAAAACAACATAGAATTTTCAGTCTTGGTTACATAAGAATGTATGGCCCCTGCACAAGAATGTTATTTATTATTGGTACTTATTTTTATATTACTGAATATTTATTATTATTGGAGGGTGGTATATGTATTAGCAAGGGCCCCTGCGCAAGAATGATTTTAGCCAGGGCTGGAAACTGTCTAATCAGCGTATGTATGTACAATCTGCTTCAGAAGTAATGACACAAAACTCGGCTCTCGAGCAGGCACATTCGACCGTTTCAGATGGGATGGAGCCGATGGTCGGCAGTTGTCGGTTTTCCGGCAATGGGATGGGTCGATGGATAGTTGACGAAAATTGATAAATCGTTTGCTCAAATTATTAAGAATTTTGACTATGAGTAATCACTTATCGCATTTGACTTGTTTTCAAAGGAATACTCGTAAAATAATATTTGAAACGTTTCTTTAAAATTAAAAATTGATCTGATTAATGGTTTTGATGTCCAAAGTCACCATTTCACAAAATAATTAATTTATTGTTTTATTTACCAATAAATTTATTAATTAATGTAGAAGTTAAGGGTTGCTTACTATTTATCAACAGTAAAGGAATTCATGTGATTTTGGTGAAATTTTTACCACTCTTTGCACTGCTGTGCTCCTGATACCCCACAATTTTGAATTTACTGTGCATTTATTTATTATTTTACTGTTCATTTATTATTTTTACTCAAAAATATTTGTTTAAATAATATACTGTGCATCTAATTTATTCCCAATATTTAAAGCCCGATGTTAGAAAGGCTTTTAATTTCCTTAGAACCATAATCGACAATTAAGCCCGTGGTACATACAACGTTTCATTTTATTTTGAATTGCGTTTCGCTTCTTTTAAATAAGTATTTAATATTTCGGACAAATTTGGTTAAAAAATAGATACCTATTTTGCAGTTGTTGTGGATGCCAAATGTGGTTCCGTATGTTATAAAAAAACACAAGGGCTGTAATAGCTTTTAAGACAACATCAGTTTAAAAGGATAAAACTTATGTTATCTTCAAAATTTTTTCCAACACTAATAGTAGAGGATACGAATTAGGGTCGACTTTCACCCATCTGCTTACCGGATGAAACTTATTTTTTATCAAATTTAATATGCAAAGGAATATATCGCGAATGGGTTGCCTAAAAAAATATGTTCAAGGATATGATTTATTGAAAATACAAAAATTAATAATTTTTTATTACTTCACTTACTTGCTTACCAGAAAAATTAAATACCAATCGAAAGTATGAAGCCTAAGGAGTATGAAAAAATTGAGTTGCCTACCTTTTTCTGTTCACTATTATTGGGTTGCCAGGTATGAACAGGTGAGTCGATG